TCGGATTCCTAGTACCTAGTTGCTTAGTTCGTAGTCAAGTCTAGACATTATTACTAGTGTACCCGCCCGACCAACACTTAGTGAACAAATTGAATTTAAAGTGATACTGCCTTTGGAACAAGTTTTAAGATACCATTTCGAAAAGCAACAGATATCGTGCAACTGATTTATTTTAAGAAATTAACGTATAAGGTAACCAACTGTGAATAACTTTGAATTGTCTTATCAACAAGAGGTTCACTTATCTTAAAGCGCACATCTAATCAGCCATAGGCGTGCAATCTTTTATTTGTGATAAGATTCAAGTGCTTGTGCAATATTTGTCTTTATAGTGTAAGTGAATACATAGATATTAGTTGCAAACGCCGATATTTTGCCAACACCATGATACAGCCATTTGTTAAGTGAAAACTTTGTTTTTAACCACAAACACGTCTTTATTTATTTATAAAGCAAGAGCTCAATTAGAAACCTGCGCTGCTGGTAAGTTAGCTCCTACTTTGAATGAGTCATGACATACTTGTAGTATCTATCTCTAGTTAACCATTAAGTTGGTTTAACTCGTATATTCAGTTATTGGAGATAATTTCTAATTAAACTAAGGACAATCGACAGCATGCTTTTTAGTTCTCAAGCATTTTTTTTCTTATTGGTATTAATTTGAATCCATATAGAATAGTTGTTATTGTGGAAAATGAAATACCGCGCTTAAAATTAGGGTTTCCCCCGGTTCACTTTGATTTTCGATACACCCAGATATATTTATTAATTATCTATTTTATAGTAAATTGTGCTTTCTGTAACAAAATCTATATATTTACAAAAACTATCAAAACTCCCAGCAACACTTGGCTTAACCAAATTAGTATGTATATTATAGCTATCAATCGATAAAGTATGACACATCGTTAGCATTTGTAACTAAGATTTAAAAGAAATTATAAAAATTGGATTTGTTTAAATTCCTCAGCTTTCTGTTTCGTTTTTCTACTTCGTTTTAGTTATTAAATACTTCTTGCTACTTATTATTTAGACTTGTTGCTGCGGATTTTTTCGAAATTACATAAGGTTTTGTATTAAAATTGACTCTATTTGTAAACAATTTTTGGCGTACGCTTCTACGGTTAGTTCCATTTTCTGGAGGACTGTTTCGTTAGATGCAACCAATTTCAGTGCCAATTGCCTTCGCAAAGCCAATCAAGCATCGATTGTTATAATATTAACAATGATCACGTATGCATAGGCATAGGCATATGGTCACCCCCTTAAACAATTGAAATTATTATTGCTTGCCAAACGATTGTCATAGCTGGCCGTGACGTGATCGAGTTTAGAAACAGTTTTTGATCCGTTTTGTTTTTCGCACTCATTGTCAGACCCGTAGCTCTATGCCAAATTGTAATGCACCATTGGCTACAATTCCGACAACATACTCGTATATAGTATACTATATACATACGTATTTGTATAATTACAAGTGTCTATATGGAAACAGGTGCATGTGATTTTATAATTGCAGCGCTAATGATAAGCGTTCATGGAAATTTTCCGCTTTGTTAGTTTAGGAGACCAACAAAGTTCAAAAGCAAAAGTCAATGAAACAATTGCAAAAGCCAAAACCATACGAAAAGTTCATTTCACTTTCATAAAAAATGTTAGCTGTTTAGCAATGAACCCGCCACTTATTGGTGCTGCTACTCAGCTACTCAGACTATAAATACCACAAATAGTTGTCATTAAAAAAAGAGGCGAGCAGCGGCAGAGTCTCATAAATATTTCATTGTTCTTGTTAGCGCTGCAGGGGCGGGAGACGCGTGGAGACAGACAAGCAACATCTGCAGAATTCAATGCTGCTGCTGGTGCTGGTGCTGTGCAACAGTTGAAGTTGGCAAAGGCAGCATCAAGTTGCCATAACGAGGCAGGCAAGCTGTCTTTCTGTCCTGTCCTTCTATCCGCCCGACTGTCAGACCCTTAGCTGTCGCCTCTGGCAAACAATCGTCCAAAATAAAATGCAGAATATACGATTTTTATACATACATACTATATGTATTTTTTATAGCTGTCGCGCTCTTCTTCTTTTGTTGGAATTTTTACTTTATGGAGGCCATGTAATGTCATAAACTAAAAAGCAAGCACTTGGTCTAGTTGAAGAACAGTAAAAAATTTAAATGAGCTTAACAGAAATTAATTCTCGTTTCTTGCAGTGAGAAAAACTTAAATTTATTGAAGAAAATACATATACATAGGTACTATTATTCCGATTGCTTTTGAGCGTGTTTAGAGGCAATATGAAACAAAATGCAACTATAAATATTACAGCTTTAAGCATTCATTTAAATGAAATTTATAAATGAATTGAACAAACTTTAATTGCAAATTATTTGTAAATAATTTATTATAAGGGAAAGAGCAGCAACAAAATTTAGCGGTTAAAATAATAAAAATTCCCATGTCCATAGAACCTTTCGGATGCAGAGTAAAAAGCTTTAAAAATTAAATAAGAATAAAATATTTTATTTTTGTTTCATTTAAAATTGAATTTACTAGATCGAATAAACTTATCGAGAAGTTCATTGGGACCCTTAAATTAGCCAATGCACCAAATGGTGCAAAAAACTGAAATTCTGATAAAATTTAAAATAATAACAGTCCTATTCCCTAGTGTATAGCTTAACATACTATGCTATATCGGCAACCATTATTTTCTATGAAATAAATTTTCTGCATTTTGAATTATTTTATTATTATTCATCTTTCATCCATACAAAACTGTCTTTTTTTACCGAATTTTTCCAACAAGGTGCGAAAAGTGTTTTAGGCGCTGTGCTAATTAAAAGTAAAATTAAATTTATTTAGCAATATTCAATGAACATATGCAAAAAAACAATATTAGTACAAAGTTTTTTTTTTAAACATTATAAATGTTATGACTTGTGCAAGAAATAATCTGATATACAACTTCTTTCCACATTAATAATACAGTTGAACTCGCGCGTTTCCTGTTCGTGTGCACAGTAGCGCTGAAAATATTTAAATAGCCTTTTGTCATATATTAGCACTAATACAGCGTGTATGGTACATTAAGCAATTTACTCCACGTGTGTAAGCATTTCGTTGTAGACAGAATCAAGAATATTTTTGATTGTGTGCCGCGGCTGACTCACTCAAGAAAGCTACTATTTCCATGACAGCACATAAAAAACCAGATGTTAAGGCGAATGGCCAAATAGTAAATGTATTTAAATTAAATATATACTCAAGTATGTATGTATATCAATGTGCAAACTAACCGTATTATTAACTGCATTAGTAGGAATCACAAGAAATAATTGAATAATTGAAACGAACAAATGAGTCTTCAGCACCGCGATTACCGTTTATTGTCATGACCTATCAAATTTAAAATTATTTTACGTTAATAAATAATTGGTATATTATATAAACAAGCTTAACTTGAAAAGTATAAGAGTCTCTCCAAAGTCCAAGAATGTTTATATTATTATGACTTTTCGATAAGCATGAGTCTGGACCTGACGCCTATTATTCCAGGCCAGTCTGCACATAAATGTTCAGTAGGTATCAAGTGCTAATTGTTTCTCCGCACCTGCCGTCTGTAAATAAATACTTATGAACATACACACATACATTCACATGTAAGTATTAGTCACCAAAGTTCACCAAAGCCACTAAAGAGGCCGCAACGCACTGCGAATATTGAATGGCAATTTTACAGATACGCTCACGCTGCACACTCATACCATTACGCCAAGATACGATGTTTCAAAATTCATTCATAAATATCATTTTGTGGTTTTCCCATCAGGCCCGCCCGCGTCCCTTAGGCAGCGTGAAATTTCTCAGCGACAAAAGACGCGTCATGAGGGCAGGGCTCGTGCTTGAGAAACCGAACTGCAAATAATCAGACCTTTATAAGAAAACAAACTACAATTTTGAGAAACAACTCATTAACTAACGATAGCGTCGGTAGCCCGCGAAGCAGTTGACAGTAAACTGTAAATGAAATAAATGTCTAAAACTGTAAACAAAGCAGAAGATGAACTGACACTGCTACCAGACGGTGAAGCTGGACCGGCGTGTGACACATGCTGTTGTTTCCAAGAAATATCTGATTAGTCATAAGCTTGGCTTCATTGAGCGTAGCTTTTACTAAACGATTGGCATAAGCGGCAGGGGGCAGTAGTATGAGCGTAGCTAACATCTCATTTAAAGGGGTAACGTTTTTTTTTTGCTATTATTAGGTACTATTCCTATTACACTTTTTATTTAAAAAATGAAAGGCGATGCAGAATATGATGATTTTATTTGTAAAATGCCGGTAAAACATAAATGAAAAATTAACACAAATATTACTAATGCACTTCGCAAATAAATACAGAAATTAAATATATAAAAACACGTTACGAAACTTTTAAATATTTTGTATGGAAATAAATTAAAGGATATTTATGCCTCTTTACTACGTCATATATGTACATATAGTATAAAGACATTTCAAATGAACAAAGTCTATTCATACGACTGCGAGTACTTGTATGTATGGTGAAAATTGTTAGGCGTGGCTCCAAATTGTATTAAGACACGTCATAGAAAGCATTCGGAATCAAAATCTAATTATAAAAGCTCTTATAAAATAATTTTCTTAGAATATATTCATGCCGGCGAGTAAATAAAACGCTTATTAAAAGAATGAAGAAATAAACGGATGCTCGTTTCCCCGCTTCGCTACGCCCATGGACAGAAGAGACAATGGCACGGAATCCCCTCGTCTCTGTTAGCGCTCTGTTAATGCCAGCGAAGTGCGTGCGAGCTTTTAAACGGCAGTGCGAAAGCTCTTTGGTGATCAGCGAGCACTCGTCATTGTCAACGACGCTGTTGCCGATCAGTTTAAATTTGCGCGCTGCTCTGTGCGGTTGTGTTAGCGGCGAGCCAACTAACACGAAGTAGTATAAAATATTAACTTCAAGCAACCCAACGTTCAGTTAGAGCTATTGTTTTTATATTTCAACTACAACAGCAACAAAAATCAACGATAACAATATCTGTTTTCATCAAATTGCTTGCAAAGTGAAGAAATTCAGTTGCTTTCATAGCTTTCGAATTCGTGTAATTTATTTTGCGGAAATGCGTGTGTGCTGCCAGTAATTAGTGCAACTTTTCAGCGAGAGATAAAGAAAGGAGACAATACATACGAGTGAAGAATTTACACAACGAAATAAATAAACACACTACATGCATCAACACTGACAGGCACGCCCACGCTTGCGTATAATTTATTTACTAATTAATTAATTTGTAAGGCAGTTGAAGTGTTGCATGCACAGCAGCAGCAGAAGCGACAACAACACCAAGTGACGACAGCCACAAAGAGAGCAGCTAACCCAACCAACGACACAAAGTACGCGGCGCGCAATAGTTCATTGATCTGACTCTGCCTCTGGCTCTGCATATCGATCTGTCACTGTGTGTCTGTTTGTGTGCTACATGTGTATGTGTGTGTTGCAACAGTCTGCCCAGCAATAATTGCATACAACATACAACCTCTTCTAATATCATGTAAGCATCTCTTTCCCATTTTATGTTATTTAAAAGAAAAAGTTCTTTAAATACAAATGACTTGGCATTACTAAATCATTTCTTAATCCAAATTTCAACAGCACTATAAAGAAAGCTTAGTCAAAAAAATATTACCTAAATCCGAAGAAACTCAAGCAGATAACTGTACTAGAAACATTTAACTTGAGATTTTGGCACACTCCCTCATATGTATGTACGCATTAGAGGGCGATATACAGTATTCGTATATTGCAAGCAGCCGTATTTACTAAGGAATCGCAAACAATACCAGACACGTAGTTCACTTTAAAGTGTACTTATGCTTGTATGTGTGTGCTCTACTCATTAATCATACAAGTATGTATAAACTTTTGGGCGACTTACATATCTCTAAGGTCAAGTTCTATACCAATAAATTTATTTATTCTTTCGTTCGCCCATCAAAGCCCATTACATGACCAGTTCGGCAATTGGGTAATTCAAAGCATACATATAAGGGTACCATAACCATATCTTATCTGGAATGAGTGTACACGTATATTCAAGAACATGCACTCGAAATACTCGAGCATTGTGATAAGATGGCATACCGAAGTCAAACCCAATACACAGTGATTGGGTCGAGCCTATTGTGCAATCTTATACTTTTATTCGGGGGAGAAAATAAACACAATGTTCCAAAGTTTAAAACAACGCACCCATCTAGTATGCCGGCTAACCAGCCAAAACTGGTTAGCATTTGCATTTTGCGAGCATCGAATTTTTTATTAATTACGCATAAAAAGGTAGCTTTTACTGGTATACTGACCACTTTTGAATGACAATTCGCTGAGCGTTTTTGAGTTTTTTGAAAAGATAAAATATTTTTATTTTCGTTACACATACATAAATGAATCATTTTTAGTTGGAAATGAAATTTTATTGTAGAGTATTTACAGCACGGCTGACCAGGCATTTCGGCTGCTTCTTTTTCTTGGCGGCATGACGTCAAAGCCTTATGAGTACAACTTATGACTATAACATTTGTTTGCACTTTTATCAAAGCAAACCCGTTTGACAACAATTAAATATTTAGAATATTTAGCCAAAAATATTTATACACGTTTATTATAAATTTCTTCTTATCATGACCAAACTGAAAACTCTCTACTCTACTGTAGTAAATATTCCATTATGACCCACTTCGGCACACACAAATATTACGTATACGAGCACCCTCATAAAATGGGGCAACAGCAAGCACCTTATACCGACATAATGCAACTTCTATTGATTATTTGGCAAACAGTTTTGAGCCCGTCCTGCCGTCCTGCCCGAAGAAAATGCGTATTGATTAAACAAGAAAGAAAGCCTGCATTGTTATAGCGACTTGTGCCAGTTATACAACCTACTGCTACATACGAGTATGTTTGACATTATTAACCAACAACGATGACAGCTGGCAGAAATTAACCTTAAACTGCCCGGAGTCGACCTTCAACCCGCTAGATAATTGCCCAAATTATTTATGGGATTTATAAATTGTGCAGCAAACAAACAACACGTTGTCAAAGGTGTGTGCGCGCTGATAATGATAATGAGTGTGTTCGAGTAAACAATTCAAAAACAAAAAACAAAACGGAAAAATCGCAAGCCCAAAGCAAATTGAAATGAAATGGATGAATGACAGTCATAGATGAAATTATCAGACACATTAACTGTGCCACCAAAACACTACATAAAACATACACTTGTATGTTTATTCTAAGTAGTTTAAATACTAAATAATAAAATTGTGTCAACAACATGGACAAACGTAGAAAATCCCCAACGATTAGTCAACTAAAAAAATAAGAATAAATAAAATAAAACAATACATGGGCAACAATGCAAAAGCAAAAGTAAAATGAAGACTTACGCATATCATAAGCAAATATTTTTGGCGCACCCTGACTCTTCTGTTTTTTTTTTGTTGTCGCGGGCGTTGAAAACTGCGCTCAACATGTCGTATACTTAATATTATTTATCGCACTTTGCTGATGTCACGACTGCAACAACAAAGACTAGCCATTTCTTAGCCTTTGGCAAACAATCTGCACTGATAACACAAATGAGTGATAAGGCCATAAGCCACCCGCCTAATAAGCCATTAAATACACATTTTAAACAAACAAACTAAGCAGCCTTATAAGTTAAATGAACTTGGCAATATGTGTAGCTACTAGAAAGGCGCATCTAATAGAGGGCCATTAAATGTTATTTTTAGCCACAAATATCACAAGTCAACACACAAATACTGTCCTGCTACCATCTTTAAAATGTCAGACTAAAACCTAATTATAGTCTAAATATAAAGCAACCACATTTTACATGTTACTCATATTACGTATACGTGTATGTATAATGCACACAAATCCGACAAAGACAACGCGTTGCCAGGCACATGACTGCAATCTGCCGTGGCAACAAATGCCGGTATATTGCACGTCATGTTGTAGTATACACAACAAAGTGGCTGCCACAACTATTTTTACTACGCTTTACTACACAATAACACTTGAAATACTACGATGTTGGGGGCCCTGCTATTTTGCATAGCGCCACACGACGCCGTCACTTCCGTTGTGCTCCATTTCAAGAGCCGCCTCCAAGTGCCTTGTCCTCTTTAAAGCCATAAATACGCGTCTACTTTCAACCTGTTGGCATTTGTGAATCGCTGCAACTTCCGTTAGCCATTATCCGTAAGCTGTTCTCGCTTTGTTAGCTGCCCTTTGCACTTGTACTTGGCCAATTGGCCTGCTTTTGTTATTGTTTTTCCTTTCTTCACTTGATGAAATATTAATTCGTATTTGGCATTATTATTCTACCGATATTTGCAGAAACTAAGGTCTGAGACGTAGCTGTTGTTATTCAATTATAAGGCTTGAAGTTCAAAGTGCGCCATAGAACGTGTGCATGTGGAACTCTACATGACAATTATAGAAGCAGCATCAGCGATAATACAACGCTCAAATTATTCACAACAACAACAAACGACTACAACAGCAACTATGCAACTAAACTGCTACAAAATGTCCACCCGCCAAAGCTCAGTGTTCATAGTCTTAGGCATAATGCTGATCATCATTGTGGCCGCCAACAGCGCTCCAGTCTCCACAACGACACAGGCAGAGGTAAGTTGAATTCAAAAATAAAATGCATATCAATGAAAAAATAAAATGAATATCAAATCTACAAAATGAAACATAATTTTACCCGTTCGAGTGCAAGGAACTTGTTTTGGGGCGAAATAAAACTTATGTAAATTATTCAGGCGGCAGTTTATAAATTCCAATTGAATTCAACTACACGTAGTACATAAAACATGCGGCGTTAATAAATAAAAATTTTCCATGCTATTAATCAGAAAATTGCCACAATGAGCATCAACGGTAGCCGCCGTGTATAATTTAACAACGAAAAAATAACGTTTTTGCTTGTTTATCAAATGCAATTAAATGCAATTTACAAATGTAAAGCATGCAATCGTCTAAAGGACGGAGGGCGGTCATGCGAGTGAGGAGCAAGGTGTTAGCACAAAACAAAACGCCAGCCATGATGACAATTAAAAGAACTTAACGCGTCCCAAGCACGTCACACACAGATACATACTTCCATACAGGAAAACATTCATTCTTATATGATCTTTAAGGTGGAAGGCTAGCAATTAGACGGAAACTACGTAATAGGTTACGTATTTCTCACATTTCTCGTCAAATATTTCAATAAGGAAAACAGGTTTTTTCTATATCAAAACAGATAGTACTAACTTTTACTAAATTATTAAATCTGTACAAATTTGTAGAATCAAGAACCAAGCATACTAAGTTCTTTCTTACTATAAAGCCTCCTGGAGTTGTCTTGGATAGTCTTAGACCAAGCCAGTACTCCCATATGAGGCTATTTTCCATATTAGCAGGATGATTGTTAATGTTTGGTGGACTTCTTTTTCTGATAAATAATCTTATATCCATTAATAGCTTATTGACAGTGTTCTTAATTTATTTTTCACATACAGTGTATTCAGTTTAGTCGAAATATCCCCAAAAAAATTCAATAAATAAATAAAATTTAAATATTTAGCAAAATATTTTCTCAAGTGTAGACACATACTTGTACATATCACAAGTTTAAATTTTTTTACTTATTAGTGCCTGTACTGCCCGACAAAGCCAGACAGAACGACTCACGAGCAACGCAAGCTTGTCTTGCTGGCTATGTTGTATGAATCATCCGTTCAATATATATGTAAATTGAGTAGGTGTATGTACAAGTATATGTAAGTGCGTATGGAAGAACGCTATAGTGAGGAAAGAAAAAACAAAAACTAGGCGCGGTAGATTGACTCGAACGAAAAAGTTGGCTAGTCGATCTTTGCCTTGAATGACCTCAAGTGACAATTAGGCTTGCATGCAACTGCATTAATGCCTCTTTGTTGCTTTATCTGGCCAAGTAAATAACTGAAACACGACAAACCAACAGCCCAGCCAAGCATGCATGCACATACATCAATACATGTATATATAGCATATATATTTATATATTTGTGCAATACGAATTTAGCCATTAAAAGTTTATACTTCCGATTTGCATGACAAACGTGTCAGGCGTGCGGCCACAACTCGACTAACATTTTGCCACCAATTTCTGGCATTCGGGCTATCTATCGTGAATGTTGGCCTTTTATACTTATTACCTTAAATAATAGCGCATTTTACACGATATACACATGTTAGTATTTATCGTAAAACCGATAAAACAGGCTCACGCTCATTGCATGTCATTCTGTTGTTTGGGAGCCGAAGTCTCGACCAACACTCGCATTCAAATCACATGTACTTGCACATGCGTTTTGGCCTTAGCCTTAAGCTTGGTGTTTTTTTTTTTTTTTTTTTTTGAGCCGATAACCATGCATACAGCACACTAATATCTGTATGCCACACAAGAGCGCGAACATGCAATTTTTAATTGCTGTAGGGTACCGAATATATGTATTTGTATATACAAGTAAGTATGAGTGTTGACGTTCATGACATTGGAACTCTTGCATGACATTTATTGCATGCTCATTGCGTTTTTGCTTTAAACGGTTGCTGCCGAATGTCCACACAATCGAAAGAACAAATCATTGAACTCACTCGAAACTCGAAAATCAGCAACCCAAGCTCTTGAGAACCATTTTAAACAAATATTCAAGATTTACAAAAAAAGAATACAAGAGCTAAGAAAAGGACGTAAAACAATTTATTAATTTAACTAATTGTGAGGTCTAAAATTGATTGAAGACTTGTACAATATAAAATTGAATTTTGACACCGGCAAAAAGCTGGTACTGCTAAGTAAAGATCTAAAAGATTAAACAAATTTACATTTCACAAACAAGTATTGATACAATTTTTATGGTTGATGTAATTTCGATTAAAAGCCTCAAGAATATAATGCTTGCTTTTATTTTATTTGTAACCAAATAAACTACAAGTAGAATGAATCAACTCCAATGAAGATGTCAACACAGTTTTAGTAGAAACTAATAGACAAATGAAAGAGAAGTGGTCTAAAGTGCTGAAATGCCGGGCTTAGCACAGCTGAAAAGATTCTTCAAAATGCCGATTAAGTCGTTTATTTCTCTGAGCAAATTATATGAGATTACATGCAATTGTTTGGCTAATTGATGTCATGCATAGTTTATTTGACACTTGCAAACAATTAATTTCCTATCGTTTTCATTAAGTCGCTGAGCCGCACGTGACTATCGCTGTCATCAGTGGACTGAGCCCCAAAGCCAGCTCTGTGTTGTGGGGGATTTGTGCAACAATCATGAGGCAGCGAAGCTGATTAGCCGGACAGGCTTGCAGGTTGCCACCGACAAGGCTGTCACGTTTGCCTGGCTGCTCAATACAAAGTGTTTTCTCTTGTTGAGATTGCAATCTGCATAAATTAATAATTAAACGAATAAATGTATGGTATTGTATACACAAAGTGGCACACAAAAGTGTAGGAGCATTCATCTCTGAGTGCATATTCAGCACATAGGCAGCAGATCCGAGACAATAGCATTCATATTTACCCGTACATCAACTGTCTCAGCTGCGACCGAAACAAATTACTGCCACACTTTGCACATTACACGCACGCAGTGATTCGATGAGTCCCAATTGTTTCGGTTTTTGTTGTTGCTGCTTTGTTTTCACTCTACTTTTTCGCTAGAACACGCGCCAGTCATTTAATTTCCTGCATGGCCATTTACATTCTACTACGGCACATGTAAACACAAAAAAATACAGTCGATTCTTACTCTTGAAGCATTGGTCACCATTTCGCCAGGTTGTCAGTTTGTCAACTCGCCAGTTCGTCAGTTCCGTACGCATGAGCGCGTGTCTAGAACAAATTGACGAAATACAAAAAAAAAAACCTCAACGCTTTACGTAACTTTGCGTTTTGTTTGGATTTAGTTTTTGTTTTGACTGATTTAACTAATTGATATGTTGATCGCGCATCGTGTTGCCATTTTTTGTTGCTTTTGCTTTTTAGCAATAACTTGGCCTGGGCCTGTTGACTGACGACTGCGCATGATCGCAACTCTCAGTCTACACATATAGTATGTATAGATTTTTTTTTACTTGGCCAGTCGCCCAACAACAGAGTACGACTACGATTAGTCGCACTTGCCCGTGCGTCCCATGTTTGTCTCAATTCAATGTCAGGCCAGTGCCTTTTGTTGCCTCTAATTCGTTCTAAGCAACGTTGAGGGTCTTTCTGCTCTCCATACAGTAGTTAGCCATTGTCATAAATTTGCTTAACATTGCAACAAAATATTCATATGCATGTGTGGCGTGTAGCGTGCAGCGGGAGGTGGAAGAGTCGCTTGGGAGGGGGAGAGGTGTGGCGACTCGGACCACACTTGTGAAATCGTGTGCATTGGCTGTTCAATTTATCAGAATGTATAATTGATTGTTCTATTGAATCCATCATTTCGCTTTGCTTTTAAGAATTTCAATGAAGTTTTTCTATTCGATACATTTGCTATTTTTCCACACGAATTAATGTCACAACATTAATGCCAAACAGACAGAATTTAACGAAATGTTTCGTTTACTAATACACCTTTTGGACGTTAAACGTGTCAGCACAACTCTCCTATGTACGACATCATTAATTTGCATTTCCAATTCGACAAAATTAGTCAAGTGTAATATTAAAGTGAATTATGCAATTTATGCCATTTATTTGGAATAACTATAAAATTTTTATAGCTGCACATTAAATAAATGATTAAACACACTTCAACAGTAAATCGAACTCCTTTTTAATTCGTTTAATGGTAAGAATGGGAATTCTTACCGAAATACTATGCTGATAATGCTTTAAATGATTTAATATAGCAATAATGTAAACAACAGTAGAATGGTGTGTCTTTGGTTGAATTGAGTTAAGAAAGCACTGTTAATAGGTAATATTTGCCTCACTTAATGCTTAATGTAGCTGGGCTCTGATAAATTGCTGATAAATAGAATACCCAAACAATCGTTCTACAACTCATATACACAGTTGAAAGGAACGTGCAGTCGAGGTTAATAATACAATTAAGTCGTACTTTCTTCACATGAATATGCCAAGCACTAACGATGACAAACATTGAATTTATTTAGAGGTTATGCAAAGCAACTTCCGGCTGTCTTACAGTTAAAACAAATGACTATTATTGCTGTTTGATAATATCGGGCACACGACACGCATATATCACATTCTCCAAATACAAAGGATCGACTCACATACAAATTATGAGTATTATGCAGCACAAAGCCTCACCACACAACTAAATGACTCATGGGCATTGCACTTTTATGTGTGACATTAGGCTGCGAACTTGTGCACCTTCGTATCGGCAAAGTGTCAATAAATAATGCTTGTGGCGTCATATGTGGCGTATACGCGATGTTCACAGAACGTATCTGTTTTGCATATGCATATGGCATCAGATAAGTGCGCTGTCAAAGGTTAATTATCATTCATTGGAATGAGCGATAGAAGCTGTTAGTTTTTTCTTCTACAAATTAAATGGAAGGCCCAGAGTCTGCGATGACGTGTGAATGGAATAGTATGTGGGTTCTTCTTGTTAACTTCAGAAATTAAA